TTACCGGCAATCAATCCAGTGTGATTGTTGGTGACATGCAATCAGTGATATAAAAACATGTTCACTTCTTCGGAGATACATATAATACCAGACTTCAGATTACACTAGGCGGAATCCAGGTCCTAAAGTTTTGTGGCATAGAAAGCACCACACACAGCAGGCTTGATTTCCATATCAAAAGTAGATCCGGGAGGGCTTGGAAGCAGAAAGTTCAAGCCATCGGACTTGAAGAAATGCCTGCTTCGAGAGTGCACTGCGACTCCACAATAATGACTTTATGCAAGAAAGCTGGTAAATTATTAAAATCTTGCACAGCTATGGAAAAACTTCCACTTGTGGCTGCTTCAAAGAAACTGTGCGGTGCGAGAATCTCTGTTAGTAACAATGCGAACCATTTGCAAGAATTTATGTCCCAGCGCGAAGCAATCAACCGATCTGGGATGTTTAACCATAATATTTCAGAGACGGGTATTTAAAACAGAGTTTCCGTATGCTTAATATTGTATCGGTATAGAGAATTCTTTTAGTTTATTAGAACTTTGTGAATGGATTATCTCCAAACTACTATACAATACTTTTTCTGGGAAGGTCTCTAAAGTAGATTAGATAGATAGATAGATAGATAGATAGATAGATAGATAGATAGATAGATAGATAGATAGATAGATAGATAGATAGATAGATAGATAGATAGATATTCTGCCACTACTTCTAAAGAGTCAAGTGGAACAAACAGCCCTTTGGAACGCTCAGAAAAACGATCGAATTCTGTTGGACGTAAAAATAACGCCCCTCTTTTGATTTATTCTTGATTATGCATTTAAAATACACTTCTTTCCACTGTTTCTCTTGTGAAGTGCGTGGGAGGCAAAACATGGTCCTGTTTTATTGACTGATTGATTTATTTATTTGTAAAGAATAAGAACGCCTCTCCTTCCCTTAGAATAGCGCTGCCTTCGCAGCAAAGTCTAGTTTCCTTTCCTGGTAGAGCTAATCCTAATTAAAAATAAATTACATGCTGTATAGAACTTGAAATGGAAAAGATAATCCTATTACATATGAGAATATATCCTGCTTCTTCTTCCCTCTAAACTGTGGGAGATATCAGATCAAGCTGAGCCACCCATTGTAAACTCTTTGAAAACTTTCCTATAGATCTAATCCATCACGTGACGGCCATGTCAATCTTGCTGTCTGCACGCGAGTTTCACAATGCTGGTATTAGGCAGAGTCAGAGAAATCCAGCTTTTCTGAGCCCACCGCATTTGCATTCCGAGAAAATGCCAACCATTGTGGCCATGTTTGTTCTCATGATCGCGAGACAGTTGTCTGCTAAGTTGCTAAGATAAAGATAAAGGGGCTCCTTTGAGACAGCCAAAGCCTTTTGGTATGATAACAAGGCGATTTGGGGCGCTTTTGTTGGACCAGATCAGCGCGGGGCGAATTTTTTCCCCCCTCTCTCGGTGGGGATTTGAGTGAGGCGCTGATGCGCTGTTTTAAATCCCATTTCCATAATCTGGCTGCTGCCCGCCAGGCTGGAGAATGCTGGCAATCCGCAGGCACCCGAGCTCACTCCGCTCGCGTGCCATCACACCACTCGGGGTAATTACTCTTAACACAGCTCCTCGGCAGTAATTAGGACGCTGGGCTTTGGGACGCTTGGCACGCCCTGCCGCTGAAAGGCAGCAAAGCGCCTTCCTTGCAGTGCCTCCACTCCTTTTAGACCCGTGCCTCTGTCCTTCGCCGCAACTCTGCTGCCCAACTGATCCATGCCGGCCGAAGCGATTTCTTGGTAGTTTGCGCCACTAATAATTAGGATTCTACAGCAGCTATGGCCAGATCTGAAACTAAAGCAAATGTCATTCATTGAGCAAGCACGCGTCGATGTGACTGTCAGATGTGAGGCCAAATTACCCTCTCATTTATCCCTCCGAAACCATACCGATTTCAAAGAAGTTATTCCGGATTCACTCCGGAGATCTCAGACGCTGCCCAGTAATTACTCCAGATTGGTAGCCGTGTCATTGAAATCTCAGAATCCGGACTAGTGGGAAGGTAATTTGGATGACTGTCTTCAATTCCGTTAAAAATAAGCCATCTATGTGCAATTTATCTCTGGCCTTTTTTTTTTTGCTGCTGTGAGATCCTTTGTGTCCGTGGCAGAGGTTGTGTGAACACTGAGAAGCCGGTGGTATTAAGGCAGACTGGTAATTTAACTTGGCGATCAGATCCGGATGTCGGCAGAGGGCCTTTGTTGCTCACATGGAGCCCGATCCAACTTCCCTTGAAATCAAGGGGAGTCCCTCCGTTGACTTCAAGTGAAATCCGATCGGGCTCGGGGAGTGGCTCATGCGCACAGCTGGAACAAATAGACAGATGTTTCTATTCACTGTAAAGTACTAATGCAAGTCAGCTTTGGCAGCATTAGTAACCAGCCCGTAAAGCTCATGGGACGCCTGTTGTGACTAGGGGCTGTATACAGATGTACGTGTAAGTACTGGCCAGTGACAAGTTCGTTGTCCTGCAGGGGTCCCATTAAGGCATGATCAGCCTCAAGAAGGAAACCTCTTCGGTGACAGGAGGATTAGGGAGAACTCCAGCTACTAGAATCGGACATTCAAGTCAGACGGATTGAGGGGGATCGATGTGTTTGGAACGTGGCAAAGGGGGAGAAGCAGTGCAATCAGCGTGGGGGGAAGGTTACTAGAAAGGATGCCACGAGACCAACGTGGCGTTGAGGCAGATGCTTTGTATTTTCCATACACCGTGCCTGCTGCAGCTGCTACGGCAATTGCTCTTTTCATCCCTGAAATACACGGGGAAATGAAAGGGGAAGAGCACCAAGAGGCAGAGCGCTTCTGGGCAGCATTAACTCACGCAGCCTCGTGTCTGTAGATGTCTTTACATCCACAGATATAGTCGAGTAGGGCTTGCTTGCACATTGTAGGATGCTTGGAGCATGCCTCTCTCTCTCCCCTCCACCTTCTTTTCCTCCCCCTCTCCACCCGCTGACCTGCAGCCTGATTATGCTCTTTGGTACTGGCACCTTACACTCTATTCTGCTCAAAGCGCACAACAGAGCGGATACCTTTTATACATTTTACTGATCAAAACAGCACTGAGCTCAATGTAAAGTGCATAGTGTCCTTTTCTTTCTTCATCGCGGTACACAAAATCACGACGTTAGCAGTTGCAACATGTTTCAGAATGTGATCTAAAACCTGGCATCCATGGGAGGGGTCGGTCCGCAGGAGAGACTATGTATACAATGTTCCTTCTTCTCTCACTCGGTTTATTGTATTGGTCTGTTTCACCAGGACCGTATCTGGAATCAATTACACATTCTTTTAGCCTGCTATTCCCCCACAATGCTTAGCTATTTGTTCACTAGACCTAATATGAAGGGAGAAAAAAACAAAACAAAAAGCCCAATGACTGCACGTGTATGGGCTGTTCCAGTATCCCCTCCGACTGCAAGTCTAGTAAAACTTGGTGACTCCCAATGCTATGTCTTCATGCTTTTCTAGGCAGATGGTTTAGTTCCCCCAGGTTCGTGCCAGGTTTCAACCTCATGCTGTTATTTTGTTCTTCTGGAACGAGACTAGTGTTGCTTCCCAGAGAGGCCCTATTAGGACAAAAAGAAAATCCTCTAAATAGGCGTAACAGGGCATCAGGAGGGATAGGTCTTAAATGTATTTTAATATGAGCTGGGCATTGTGTGTAATTCAGCGCCCATCATCGTTTAGTCAAAGAGTTATGGCAGTGATTGGGAATGAATAGAGGGACATAATGGATACATGTGGCGTTTGCTCATTATATTCAACTTAGCCCAACTCCTCTGTGGAAACTGTTCAACTTTCTTTCCCTTTAGCTTGTCATAGTGAAATAATACAGACATTGGTGCCTCAAATGGGATAGCCTGCCATGCTATTATAGTTCTACAGCTAAGGAGAGCTTCATAAGCCTTTGATACAGTCTGATCTTTGAAACCTTTCCAAATCTCCTCAAGCTTATGCTAAATCCTATTTGGAACTTTTTTGCCTGCCTAGTGCCCAAGGCTCAAGAAAGCCACTTGGGCAGTGACATGCATACTAAAGCATCCAGGAATATCTTCTGAAAGGCAAATTACAGCTCTGATCACAGGATCTCACATGAGTAAAACACAATTATGTGCACAAATTTGAATAAAATCAATTTTCAGTTAATCCTTCAATCTCGTTTAGGGGCTTGCTCTGATGATCAATACAGAAATCAACGGAAAGGCAATCAACCCCGCTATATATGCATTGAGCAGCACTTTATTAATCTATAATCATAGGCTGGGGCACACAAAGTACACATTCACACTCACAGGCAACCCAAGCAAGCTATTTCTCTGCATTTTTAAGTGACTAGCTCAGAAGAGCAGATATTTGCACACAAGGCACCTGTTCAACAGCAGGGTGCTGTAGTGGTACAATTAACAAAACAGTCCGCGCATTTTACTCCACGCTCCCCGTGCCAACTCATTTGCAGCTCGCCTTCAAAAAAAAGAGTTAAAGAAAACAAAGAAGAGATTCCCTAATTTTCCTTTCTTGTTTTCCTCTCTAAGCCTTTTCCACATTAAAGGGATTTTCTGGGAGGCAGTGTGAAAGGAGAGAGAGAGAGAAAGAGAGAGAGAGAGAGAAACAGTGTGAAAAGAGCGTCTGGCTGCGGCTGCTCGGTTCGGTACAATTTGCATATCCGCGTCTATTTAAAGGTCTTCAAGCGGCGCACTCGGATTTAGAAGCTGGATAACTCAGCTGGGCGCCCCGGCATCGCTGGCACCTCTCGGGCAACCGTAGGCGATCGGCACATTTGCCTCGCAGAGCAAAGCAGAGCATGCATTATCTGCACTGGGGAGCAGGAGAGTCACCCTCCCATCTCCTCCTGCTTTAGGAGCTGACTCGCTCCCTACCCGCTGGAAAGCCGCTTCTCCGCATCCTCAGCCCCTTTCAGGTCAGCAGCTCGGTGCAGGTGCCATGGGTCCCGCTAGGGAAGGACGCAGCCTCTTCTCTCCGCCGCGCCTCTTCTACCTTTGCTGGCTGCTCTCGGCCGCCCTGTGCAAGACGGTGCGGTACCGCACGTACGAGGAGGACCCGCCGGGCACGGTCATCGGCACTTTGGCTGAAGAGC